CCATCAGTCCATCCACCCCATCAGTCCATCCACCCCCCATCAGTCCATCCACTCACCCACCCATTTATCCCCCTACATGTCTGTCCATCTACCTACTAATCCATCCATCCACTTACCTGCCCATTGGTCCATCTACGCATCTATAGATCTATCCACCTACCTATTAATCCACCCACTAATCATTCACCCCTTTATCCATCCTCTACCTATTCACTCTCCCACTCAACTAGTCACCACCTGGGCATCCTCCCTCCCACCCACTCCCCCACCTTTTTTTAAATTTTTCTTTTTCATTTTATATGCCAACCCCGTTCTCCCTCCCTCCCCTCCTCCCCTCCTCCCACCTCCCCCCCATCCCTCCTTCCATCTATTGGCTACTCTGTGCCAGGCTGGTGGCAGCAGCTGGGGATGTTGCTAGTCAGCGGAGTAGACAGTCTGCTGAGGGAGGGGCTACGTGCCTGAGATGAGCACGTGCCCGAGAAGAGTGACCCCTAACAGGTGATGGCTTTAGGAAAGGTCTCTTAGAAGGTGGTGTGTGAACAGCGCAGGGGTGAGGCCATTTACCTTCCTGTGTGAAGGGGCAGAGGCTGCATGGCCTGAAGCAGAGTGAATGAGGGGGCCTGAGCTTTTCCTGGGGGAGGGGGGGACATGAAGGGGTGGAGGAGGGAGGGACAAGCCCTGATTGACAGAGGACGGCTCTGGGGGGAGATGCCACGTTCTCTCCCCTTCCTTTGACCTGTGCTAGCACGCCTGTCCTAAGTGCCAGCAGACGCTCCTACCTGTAGATTGGAGTTGTGTAGTAATTGCCAACCTTCTTCTTTTCTGCATTGTAGCGCACACCTGAGAGGGTGGGAGAGAGGCTGGGACCGAGGCACCGCGACAGCTTTTCTCTGGTGGGAACAAGCTGGTGGCTGGGTGTCTGGCAGGGCAGGTGCCCCGGAAGGGCGGGCACAGAAATTCAGGGCAGGAGAGTGAGGTTTGGGAGGCACAGGAAAGTGTGGACTGGAACAGGAGGCTCAGCTTCCAACCCTGCTTTCACTGTGTATCCCTATGTAAGGTGCCTCAGCCCTCTGGGCCTCAGTTTCCCATCTAGTCAACAGAGATGACTGTAATTCTGATCACACAGGGCTCTGGGAATAATGTCAATGGAGAGCTGGATTTGGGGGTACACCTGAGACCCAGCACTTGGGAGGCAGAGGCAAGGTGGAGTTTGCCTGGGTGACACAGTCAGACTCTGTTGCAAATAAGCAAAGACCTGCTACCTGAGTGAGTGGAAAGTCAGCCTCCAGCACTCCTTTCACAAATGTCCATTTTTCCTGGGAGGTGATACAGTCCTGCCTTCCAACCTTGAGTGACAGAGCCTGACTAGAACAGGTGAGCCCGGGCCGGCCACAGACATGACACTGTCTGCCCATAGCCTACCATAGCAACATCTGTCCTTGCTTTTCTGGCCTGTGCTAGATCCAAAGAAAATCCCTGCCCTGCCCTTACCCAGGGGCAGGTCCTGAGACCCTGCTCACTGCAGAGAGGTCCTGCCCCTGCCCAGGATGAGCAATTCCAAGAGAAGGCTCAATGGCAGGCCTCGCTGGGCTGGGAATAAAGGTTCTATAGAATGAGGCCTCCACAAGGCATGAGGGCTCTTGGGCAGCTGGAGAGGGCACAGCTCCTGGAGGGGTGCCCCACGTGTCCCATGCCATTTGTCTCTCACCCGTTTTCTTGTTTCTGTTTGTTGGTTTGTTTTTTGAGACAGGGTTTCTCTGTGGTTTTGGGGGTGACAGTGTCTCGGGGTCTCACAGCACCTGGCACAGGGGGGCTGAAGGGGCAGGCAGGGTGGTGGTGAACTCACCCATGCCGATGTGGTTCTTGCAGCCGTCACACCAGATGTTGTATGGCATTTCAAACCTAGAGAAGAGACAAGAGTTTTCATTGTTTACTTATTTATCTCGTATGTGTGGCAGTCAGAGGACGACAGTCGTGAGCTGGTTTTCCTTCCACTGCGTGGGTTCTGGGGACTAAATTCAGCTGTCTGGCTAGGCAACAAATGCCCTCCCCCACTGAGCCAATGCTGCTCCCTTTCTTCTTAAGATATATTCTGGCTATGCTCTCCAGGCTGTTCTTAAACTCCTGGACCCAGTGATCCTCCTGCCTCAGGCCATCTAGTATCTGGAAGTCCTGGCTGGCCACTCTTCCTTCTGTGGTCATGTCCTTGCACATCACTCTGTGGCTTGTCCCACGCAAAACAAGAGTCTGGCCCAGTCCTGGAATCAGGATCCATACTGGGCAACCGAAGGGGAAGAAGGGACAAGTGTGACAGGTCTGGGTCTTGGCCTTAAGAGTCCTGGCACTTTTGGTCACTCTTTTGGAGCCATGATACTGCTGGTGTGCTGGAAGAGAGACCCACCGTGGAAAGCCTATCTATACAGGCCAAGGCCCCACTGGACCAACTGGTCTTCAGCTACCAAGCCCCTACCCTGAAGAAATAAGGCCTCGTCACGCCCTTCCGAGTCCAGAAGAGGCACCAGACTTGTCAATAACAAATACTTATTGTTTTGTTACGCAGCAATAGCTGACTGATGCACTGTCTTCCTGCTTTACGGATTAGAACCTGGCAGCACTGGGCCAATCAATGGGGCCATGAGATTGATGCAAGGTGGAGGTCTTGGGAGAGGGGGTGGATAGTTCCTTACCGGATGACAAGGATGCCTTGTGACAGCTTCCGAGCCCGTTCTCGAAGGGGGTGGCTGTTGTGGTATCGGTTGAGAGAGCCATGCTGTACGGAAAGGGTGAGTGAAGGTGCGGCAAGGCCACACTGGGGCAGCCTGTTCCCTTGCTGTTCCTACTGCTGGGGGACAAGGGCCTCCCCGGGGGGCAGGGGCTGTAGTCTGACATCCTACAAGCACCGTGGGAGGTGTGGAGGGAGCTCTTGGTAAGGTACACGGCTTGGAGTCAGGGACAGAGTTGTCCTGGGTATCTGAAGGAAGCAGTTCCAGGAGCCCCCGGGACACCAGCGTCTACAGCAGGACGTTACATGCACCGGCATGGTAACTGGGCAGAGCCTGCCCACATCTGCAGGGCTTGGGGTCTTCTCTGGGTGACTTGGGACACTTGGTCCCTGAGGCTGAGGGGTTGTGGAAGCTGCTTACCTTCTCGGGGTTGAAGTCTGGGGGATAGTACTTGTTTTGGCCTTTCCTTTCGCCCTGGAAGCAGAGGGGAAGCGTGAGCGAGAGAGGACAGTGCAGGGCCAGTGTAGATCAGACACTGGATAGATCAGATGTTCTATCCAGGGTCTGATCTACAGGGGCAGCTTGGCTGGAAAACCAACCGTTACAGCTTTGGGAATTCCTCAAGGCCGCACTGTCTTACAGGAGTGGCTGCATGTTTGGGGGGCTGTAGGCAATAGTAAAGAAGTGGGGATGGCCACGGACTCCTAATGGCTTGTCTCTTTTTACACAGTGTTTCCCGTAGCCCAGCTTGTCACAAACTTGTTACGTAGCTGAGGGTGGCCGTGACCCCGCTGCTGCCTTCACCTCCCAAGGCTGGTGTTGTGGACGTGCACACACCTGGTTTATGGGGGAGTGGGGATGGAATCCAGACCTTACGCTAGACAGACAGACAGACACCCCACCAACTCAGTTACAGCCATTTCTACCTTTTTTTTTTTTGAGACAGAATCTCATTTCATAGCCCAGGCTGGCCTCAAACTCAAGGCAATCCCCCTGCTTCAGCATTGCGAGAGCTGGCATGACAATGCCCTGCTAGCATTTCTCTTAGGCCACCCATGAAATACATTTAAAGACACCCCTCCCCCAGCTAGGGCTGTCAAGCTGGTCTCAAAACCTGGGTCCCAGCAGAAGGTCCACTCTGACATGGTGGCTGTGCTGGGCTGTTCAGAGCCCGGGACTTGTTCTTCACAGTAGAACGCTTCAAACAGTTATCAGGAAGGAGCAACTGACCAGAATGCCGACCAGCTGAGCTGTGTTGCCTACAGCACCTCACTCCACGCCAGACTTCCCACATCCTCCTCCAGGGTTTTCAACCTTCCCAATGTTGTTATGTAGCTGAGGGTGGCCATGACCCTCCTGCCTTCACCTCCCAAGGCTGGTATTATAGATGTGCACACACCTGGTTTATGGGGTGCTAGGGACGGAAGCCAGACCTTATGCTAGGCCCTTTGATATAGTTCCACATGTTGTGGTGACCCCCCAACCATAAAATTATTTTGTTGCTACTTCATAACTGTAATTTTGCTACTGTTATGAACTGTAATGTAAGTATCTGAAATGCAGGGGATCTGGGACATGTGACTCTCAAAGGGTCTCAACCACAGGCTGAGAGCTGCTGGTCTTGACCCCTCATCCAGGAAACTTCTCTTTGCAACAGACAGAGAGCACCACGGAAAACCACAGCCCAGTGGTCACATCTACAAACCACTCCCACACCTAAGGCTGGGGACTCTGTGGAAGAGGGAACAGGAAGACGGTCAGCCCCAGAGGATCAGGGACTTTGCTGTGAGATTGTGTCTCCTAGTAACATCAGAAGTTACACCTGTAAACCAACACGATCACCCAAATGTGAGCTGAACAAGGACACCACAGACAGGCCAAAGTGGGGAGAGACCATGAGGCCTCCACCCCACACAAAGAACTACAGGTAACTGAGGGAAATCGAGAGCAGGAGAGGAAGCCTTCCCCGAGGAGAAACACACCAATGGGTTGTCCAGCCAAATGGTCAGCGCTGGAAACACACACATGTAACATTGTAAGAACTCAACAGGTTATATTTGGGAATATACTTGTATCTACAAATACATATATACATGTAAGAAAGAGGGATGAAAAAAGTGGCCATGAAGGTGAAGGCAAGCTGGGAGGATATATGAGAGAATTTGGAGGAAGAAAGGGAGGGGAGAAATGTAATCAAAATACAATCTCAAAAATAAACAACAACAACAAAATCCTGGTCCAGTGCTGTAGCCGTAACTTAGTGTGGTAAGCACTTGCCTAGAGTCCTGAGACCAGCCCTGCCTTGGGCACAGTACATGGGACAACCGTGAACACATCATGCTGACTGGGAGACCGGACAGGACGGCACACATGCTCATGGCAGGGAGAGTCCAGTCTGAAGGCAGACGAGTGGTTCTCGGGACGGTGAGGAGGGGAAGACAAAGGGTGACTACTTAGGGCTGAGGAGATGGGGGTGAACCCTGGAGCCCGCATGGTGGAAGGGGAGAAGCTGTTCCCCCAAGCTACCACACATGCATGTGCACCCACTCTACAGTCAACAGACAAGCGTACAACTGCCACACATTTTCAAGAGTGACTGCTCAGCTCAGCAGTGCAGGGCCTCCTTTTCAGGGTGACAGTCTCGTGGCACTGCACTGGAGAAGGAGTGGGCAGGAACACCTCCCACACTTCACAGCGGCTGGGGATGCGGCTCAGTGGCAGGGTGCCTGCCCAGCAAGCATGAGGCCCCGGCTCCGTTCCCAGCTCTGCAGCAACGGCCATAATCCCAGAACTTGGATACGACTGATCTCTGAGGCAGAAGGGTCAGAAGTTTGAGATCATCCTCAGCTAAATGGCATCAGAAAGGAAGGGAGGGGCAAGGAGGGAGCAAGATCTAGATGGACAGAGGACTTGCTGGGTGGTGGTTTGAGTGCCCAGCAAAGGTCTGCCACCACTATGCACAACAATCACTGGCTACCAACAAGAGCCTGAGAAGGGCAGGGCTGCCTGGAGGCTGTGCTGCACCCAGGAGAAACCCAGGCTTGGGAATCTTCTACTCACCATCTTGGGAGCTGCCTACAGGTCCTCACTAACTGGGAGAGTGGCCTGGTCAATGCATGCAGCGGTGGGGTGTATCCTTCCTGAGGAGCTGCAGAGGCCACAGGCTGCTGCTCTGTCAAGATGTGGCTGTGTGGTGGTCTGGCTTGGCTCTTCCTATGTCTTGAAGTTCACAGTGGCTGAGTTGTGACCTGGCATCCAAGGACAGCCTGGAGGGAGGGAGGGAGGGAGGGAGGGAGGGAGACAGACAGAAAGGCAGTAAGAGAACCATGGGGCTCCAGACTCTGCTGGCGTGACCAAGCAGGGATGGTGGTCTGTGTCCTAACCCAGGCCTCCATTCCTACTGCCTGTCCTGCTCCCGAGGCAGAAGCTGCAAGGGGCTCCTTTTCTTTTCTTTTTAAAGATTTGTTTATTTATTATGTATACAGCATTATGACTGCAGGCCAGAAGAGGGCACCAGATCTCATTATGGATGCTTGTGAGCCACCATGTGGTTGCTGGGAATTGAACTCAGGTCCTCTGGAAGAGCAGTCAGTGCTCTTAACCTCTAAGCCATCTCTCCAGCCCAAGGGGCTCCTTTTCAATTTACATCCTAAACTACTTATTTTATGTGCCTGTATGTGTTATGTGCATGGCATGTTAAGCATGTGGAGGTCAGAGGACAACTTATAGGAGTCAGTTCTCTCTTTTCCCACTTCAACTTTTCAGCAAACTCAGACTGTAGGCTTGGTAGAAAGTCAATGAACAGTCTCCCAGGCCCAGCAGGGGTCTCTCATATGTGCTACTGTGTCATGATCCCCTGGCATCCAGAGGCTCCCAGTCTAGTTTATAATCAAACCTACAGGCCCTACTGCCTCTCAGCCTTAGGCGAAGGTCACTCACCCCTCTCCTCTCTCTGTTCCTGGCTGTCTGCAGAGGCCAAGGCAACCAAACTGTTCCTAAACTGCTGGGATGGACTCGGAGCCTCACAAAGACCAAGACAGCACTCTACCACTGACCGACTTCCCTGCCCCTCACTGGGGGGTTCTAGGCAGGGGCCCTAGAGTCGGCCTAGCCCTGGGTTCAAAGATGTAGTTTTTGATGTTTCTCTTGAATGCCAGAGGCCTCATGCAATCACCCGACCTAAAGTCACTTCTTGGAGCCAGGTGTAATTCTTATAACCCCAGCTACTAAGGATAACAGGATTGAGATAGGAGGAGTCCAAATTGAAGACCAGCATGGGCAATATACTGGGCAATGTCAAAATAAAACTAAAACAGTTTAGGGATCTAGCTCATGGGGACAGTGCTTGCTTAGCATGCAGAAGATCCTGGATTCCATCCCCAGCACTGCAAAATAAATACAGTTTATAAAAAATAAAAATAAGAGCCAGGCAGTGGTGGCACACGCCTTTAGTCCCAACACTCAGGAGGAAGAGGCAGCCTGGTCTACAGAGTGAGTTCCAGGACAGCCAGGGTTACACAGAGAAACCCTGTCTCGAAAAACCAAACAAACAAAAAAGGGATAGGAATATGGCTTGGTTAGTATAGCATTGTTTAGCATGCAGGAAGCTCTGCATAAACCACATGTGGTGGCACATGCCTGTAATCTTAGCACTCAGAAGGTGGAAGCGGGAGGATCAAGTTCAAAGCCAGTCAGGGCTACAGAGACCCAGTCTTGAAATAAATGCTAATGGGGTGAGCAACAGAGACTCATGTAAGTTAGAGAACTGTCGGAACTGGGGGAGGGGACAGCTGCATAGGGGAGGAGGGGTGTCTAGAGTGAACACAGGCAGGTAAAACTGACAGATGGATAACACACATTTCTGTCTTCTTACCACAGAATATCTGTGCTCAACTGCCCTAGGCTAAAAGCACGTATGGATATCAGGCAAAAAACTGGCCTTGGGAGAACCAATTTCTTAAAAAAAAAAAAAAAAATTATTATTGTGTGTGTGTACAACATGCGTAAGTGCAGGCCAGGACAATTTTGTGTCCTTTCAAATTTACCAGGGTTTTGGGCTTCCAGGATTATGTGGCAGCTATTATGACACATGGAGCCACCATTCTGGCTCCCAATTTTATTTTTATTTGTAAGTTTGAATTACACGTAAGTGTAACCTGTCTTCTGATGTGCTCAATGATTTACACTTGATCTTAAATTAACCAAAAGGCTGAGATGTGGTTCCCCAACCACTTAAAACTTGAAAACTGGGGTCCACATGGTGGAAGGAGAGAACACACTTGATCTCCACGTGCCATGACATATATCCATGCACACAAATGCATACAAAATGAATAGGTAAAATGTAAAAAAAAAAAAAGTTTTTCTTTCTTTTTTTGGGTTTTGAAGACAGGTTTCTCTGTGTAAGATTGCTGGCTGTCCTGGACTCACTATGGAGACCAGGCTGGTCTCAAACTCAGAGATTTGCCGCCTCTGTCTCCTGGGATTAAAAGTGTGTGTCACCACTGCCTGGCTTGAGAACTTTTTTTAAAAAAAATTTATTTAAATTTTGTGTGTGTGTGTGTGCGCACACAGAGTCTAGGAGAGGATGGCAGATTCCCTGGAGCTGGAGCTACAGGCAGCAGTTAGTCATCTGGGAACTGAACTCAGAACCTTCAGAAAAGCAGTATGTCTCTTAACTGCTGAGCCATCTTCCCACCCCTAAGTTAGTGTCCAGGTACGAATGTGTCACAGTGTGTGCAGGTCAGAGGACAACCTGGAGGAGGCGGTTCTCTCCTTCCACCGTGTGGATCCAGAGACGGACCGCAGGTTGTCAGGCTGGGTGGCAGCAAGTGTCCTCATCTACTGAGGCATCCTGCTGCCCCTCCCCCAAATACTTCCGATGGCCAAGTACTTAAGTGCCCGCCAGGTCGGGGTCACGGCTGCCTGGGTCTCTGACTTTCCTGGAGCTCTCACTTCTTCACCTGTCAGGAGGGAGTACGGTCCAGGGCGTGACGGCGCATGCCTCACACACTCGGGGAAGAACCAGGAGTACAGACTGAGTTCCAGGCCAATCTGATCTACACGGCAAGCCCAGGCCAGTCAGAACTACACAGCGAGACCCTATCTCAAAAAGCAGTAACAAAACAAACAAAAGGATGAAAACGGGAGGAATGACTTTGGGGCTTGCCGTAATGAAATAAGTGTAGACATCCAGCTTGTGAGTCGGTGTGGGCTTGGGGTCCGTGTTAGAATGTTTTGGGAGACACGCCCCTCCATGTAGTCCAGGCTAGCCTTGTACTTCAGGTCCCCCAGCCTTGGCTTCTGAAGCCTTAAGATGGTTAGTCACAATTCCACAGTCAGGTTACATGCAGGCTGCTCAGGTGGATGCACAGGGATGAGGTCATCAGAGTCATTCCTGACCTCACCTGCCTGAGCAGATGGCAGCCCATCAGTCTCCCCTGCGCTTCCCAGCTGCCTGACTCCGGGCCAGACGCTACCGCTGACCTTCGGTTTCCTCATGTGGAAAAAAAGTAGTTTCCTAAAGGACGGAGCTGCGAAGGCTGTGGTTGGGAGTCGTCGCAGGTGTTAAGCACTGAGAAGAGCATGGGACAAAGAGCAAGGACGATTTCAGCTCTTTCCCCTACTTACTAACACCCGTAAAAATTACTAAGTTATGTGTATGTATGTTTACGAACAAGTGAGTGCAAGAGGGTTGGATTCTCTGGAGCTACAGGCAGATGTGAGCTCCGGGAACTGAACCCCAGTCCTCTGCAAGAGCAGCACAAGCTTTAGCCGTTAAGCCATCTCTCCAGCCCCTTAAAAACTATATTTGTTTTGTGTGTGTTCGGGGAGCGTGCCACGAAGTGTGTGCAGGTCAGACAACACCCCACAAGAATCGATTTTTTTTTTTCACCACGCTCGGGGGTCGAACTCATGTCGTCAGGCTTGGCCGCAAGCGCCACTGCTAGCTAAGCCACCTCGCCGGCCCTCAAGCTACTGTTCCTAAGCACCGTGTCCACACTTGGGCTTGGAGGCTCATCTTCTGCGTGAGGACGGCTAGGGGCCCCGGGAACCCGCTCGCGTCCGCGGGTCTCGCATCGCCCGCGCCAAGCCGCAGGGGTGGGATCGAGGTCCTGCCACCCCGTCGCCGCCGCCCGGTCCGCACCCCGTACCTACCTGCCCTCCTCCTGACGTCACGCCGCCACCAGCCCGGAAGCACACCCGGCGCCGAGAATGCGCGGAGCGCCCGCCTCCGCGGAGCGAAGGCGCCTGCGCGAGGCGGGGCGAGGCACTTTCGCCACCTTGATTGGCTGAGATTCCCGCAGGCACACCCATTCCGGCCCGTCAAGCGGAGAAGCCCCGCCCACTGGGGGACCCAATCCGAGATGGCTGCCAGGCCCCTCCCTCCCGGAAGTGCTGACTTGCCACCGCCCAGGCTTGGCGGATTCGTCATTTTAAAGCTTTGATCAATTGATGTTTGAGAAGTTTGTTGTTGTTGTAGCCCAGTTTGGCCAGGAGCTCATTATATTGCTGAGGATGACTCTGAACTTCTGACTCGCCTTGTAATCTCCAAGTGGTGGGGTTACCCGATTACCCCGGGGCTGCACAGCACTGGCTCTTCATTTATGATAAAAAAAATTACATTTATGACCAGGCGTGCTGGCGAACGCCTTTAATCCCAACACTCTGGAAGCAGAGACAGGTAGTCTGGTCTACATAATCAAAGGCCAGTTAGGAGAGTGTGAGACTATATTAAAAACAATGTGTGCATGTGGGTGAGTGCTAGGTGAAGGTCTGAGGGAAGGAGCATCCCCACGGAGGGATCACCGTGGACCTCTGGGCATGCATGTGGTGCATGACTTACATGCATGCAGCCAAGACATCCATACAGGTAAAAATAAATAAATCTTAAAAAAAAATAGAAAGCAGGAAAAGGAGATTTATTCAATGTTGGCACTTTCAGAAGGGGGACAAAGAGATTTAGAGAAGGAACCACTCAAGTCCTGAAATGAGATCAAAGTTAAATAAAGGGACAAGGATATTCACATCTAGGCAGACCGGGCCAAGGTGTGGCTCCGCCCACCACAGACCCATCATCACCGTCTTGGGCTTTGGTCTCAGCGGTCTGACAAGTTAGAACTGTGTGAAATTTCTTTCCAGAAGAGAACTTTACCCTCTGGCTTTGCCCAGCGTGAGATTCCTGGGGAAATTCCCATTTCTTTGGGGTCCATTATTGCCATAATCTGATAGACTGAGAGATACAGGAGCCTCTCTAGAATATCTTCATTTTCGCCAGGCCTGTTAAAAACAAAAGGCCAGAAGCATGGGAGATCCTGAAGTCCCCTTAGCTTCACAAAAGGAGTCAACTGCTGGGGAGGGCGCTGACCCCAGCTGTGAGAAGTGACTCCGACCTGCTTTTGAGTCATCTCTGTTCCTGGTTGTAAGTAACCCTGACCCAGTCAGTCTCCTATTGGATCACCAGGTCAGACCTTGGTGCTGTCCCTACTTTGGTCTTTTGTGGGTTCTTCTTCTGATTGGCGATGCCTTTGTGCCGTGTCTTCCCAGGAAAAGTCTGTGACACAACATTTGGCAGGAAACAGGACCAGGCAGCTCCAAATACGAGTTGTCAGGAGTGCGTGTGTGGTTCTGGCTGTGGTTAGACAGGCATGTAACCGAGGTTAAGCAGCCTGAGGGAGCACAGAGGAGGAGATGACAATAAGCCGACCTTCCCTGTACTAGTGTTAGTGCACTTTACGAGCAGCAGTTTCATGGTTCTTGCTCTGGGTAGTGAGATGTGTAAGGATGAGCCATCACAAGTTGGAGTATCCGTGGAAGGAATTCCAGGATGCCAATCTTTGTCTATGTGATATTTGTCAGGTATAAAGGAAACTCCGTTTCCCCAAATTTCAAAAGGCAGAAGGAACAAATGACTGGAGTTTGTAGCATGCCAAAGTGCATGCTGGCCTCTGGGCTCCCTCAGTACCACAAGAGCCCGTTACATATGTCCATGCCAGCATCCCAGCTCTTCTCACCTCCTCCCTCCCCTAAACTCCCCTAGCTAACAGACGTCGACAACCCCAGCTACTCACTCTTCTATAACCCTCCTATTTCAGCTATTCTCTCCCCCTCCTTCCTCCCCCCCCTCTAAAAACCTTCCCCTTAACCATATCACCAAGCGGTCATGCCATCAGCAGTATGGGGTAGTATGCCTGCTTGGTGAATGGAGTCCACCTTGTGTATATTGGGATTCCCTGAGAACAGTTCAAGGTTTGGAAGAAATTTTGCAATCTGAGTGCATGCCAGGGTTGCCTGGCTGCTGCTGACTGTAGTGAGAAATGCATCTGCGGCCGAGATAATGGCCCAGTAGGAACCTACTGTAAAGGCAGAGTTACAAGAAAGGGAGATTCGAATAGACTCATCCATATTAGGCTCCAGTGTGGTATATAAACTAGTTAAAAGAGAGGATGAGATGGAGTTGTTGACCTGCCATTTCCTCTTTGTTGTTGTTGGAGACAGAGCCTCTCTATAGCCCTGGCTGTCCTGGAATTCACCTGCCTTTGCCTCTCAAGTGCTGGGATTAAAGACAAGCACTATCCTGCCCAGTAACTGCCAATTATTATGGATGGGGGACCAATAGGAAGCGCCTGCCCTGAAGAGCCCCTTCCTGGGACCTGAGAACTTCAAGAAACCATGGTAATTAGGGACAGTCAGCACATGCACGATTCCAATTTCCAATTTTTTTTTTTTTTTTT